ATAAGTGGATAGCAAAGATCTGCTAGTTATGTAAAGATTATTCTGGCACAAGTCTTGTAGTCTATCATATTGTAGTTCTAAAGTAAGCACAAACACATTTGGTGATTATATCCTCTTTGCTTGTTATTGTCAGACATGTGTCCGGTTTTGTAGGGAGTTTGAAAGTTTTCCTGATTTGGTGATGGCTAATTGCAAGTAGGTCAGAGCTACACTGCTTTGTTAGAAAGTGCTCTTTTAATCTATAGGTCACACATGGGGGAAAAAAGAGGCTTCATATATCTCATTTTTCCCTTGGTATAGGACACACTTAATTGGCATTTGTATTCTTGGTTATTAGAGTTCTGTGCTTAGCTGAATCCCTGTGAATCTTACAGCAGTTTCCCCAAAGATTATTTACTATTACTTTATAAAAGCAAATAATTGGAATTACATATTTTTATGAACTAGTAATCATGATTCACCACTCTAGGTTCATTCAGCATTGATGGATTCTGTCCTTGAGCTATGCATAGATCATAATGAGTCTTGAGAATGAATTAGAGACGGTAATCCTAATTAGAGATGGAAATCCTACAGCCTTTCTGTCTTTTAAAGCTTTTACCACAGCATCAGTATGCTGAATGTTCTTGCAGTAGCTTGCCTAGCACAATATTTCACATTTGATCTTTTAGTAACAAAACAGCAAGGGCCACATTTTCAAAGAACTAGTTGTGTGTGTAGTGGTACTTATAGGTGCTTATGCTTCTGCATTGGATAATGTCTATTTTTTAAAGTCCCATTAGGGTGGACAGACAGTCTGGAGATTAGGGTGGTCCAGATCATGTCCATTGTATGCGTGAGCACATAAGTTTGTATGCATGCTCATTGCAGAGATTTTGAAAAGTGTGGTATGCTGTTTTGACACGCATTGTTTTTGTGCCCCTTACTTCCCACTCTCCCTCTGCTTTTTTTCTCCCTTGAATTCCACTGTCCTGAGAGCAGCTGGTCTTGGCTCTCCACATTCCCTTGCTGCCTCTGGCTCTTTAGGCGGGAAAATACTTGAGGCTGGTCCACTCTGCTAGAATAGGCCCTCACTAATGAGATGGATACAGTAGCAGGAAATAAAGCTTTTCCATTAAACTTTAATTTACATATTGATGACTTCTAACATTCCAAAGTGTTGATACCATTTAGAAACAATTGTAGCAACAACAACAAGAAAACCCACATACAAATATTAGCTGGCTTTTCTCAGCTCTTAAAAATGAAACAAATAGGGGGGAAAAACTACTAGACAATTTGACAGTGAAACACAGAAAATTCTTGTCCAGATCCTCAGCTGGTGTAAATTGCCACAATTCCATTGACTGAAACGTGAGAACAAATAAGGCCTGAAGGGAGTGTCTGGGCAGATCTTTCTCTCTGTGGACTCTGGCACTCAAGGCATCTGTCTGTGAATCATAGACAGAAACAACAGACAAGAAGAGAAATATTAGCTCATCATATAAATTAGGACCAGAAACCACATGTTTAGCCGACAACTAAAAAAAGATTAAAACATTATTAAGTTTCTTAAAAGATAATAGAAAGAAAAGGTATCTGCTACCTCTAAGTCATGGTGTTTGCTGTGCTGTTTCCTGGGCCTTCAAGTCTGGGGACCAGTTGTGTGGTGGCAGGAGGAAGCCACCTTCTGCTGCCATATCCATTTGGAATTGCGATGTCAGAAGCCTTGGGCTGTATGTCCAATGTTATAGTCAGGACAGAACCAATTGTTGGAATAAACCATTTAGTGTAGGGCTTGGGAACAGGTACCTCTGCCCTTGAGCTAGTGCAATGCCTCTTCTTTTCGCTGAGGGTATGTCTATACTAGAAAATTAAGTCACCTTAAGTTACTTTGATGCACAGCCATTGCAGTAATTAAATCGCTTTTGCATGTCCACATTATGTTTATTTTGTTTTGGTGGTGTGCATTCTTACCAGGAGCGCCTGTACTGATTTAACAATCAGCATGGGGCACTGTAGGAAGACTTCTGAAAGCCAGAAACCGTCCATGTAAGCAACACAATGTCTTCATTGATGCTGCATCGACCTAATTACATTGACCTAAGCACTACGTCTCTTGTTATGCCAACTTAATAACTCCACCTTCACAACTCCACCTTCACAAGTGAGTTACTTTGGCAGGAGCAACATTTTAATGTAGATACATACACAGTTGGGTCAATCTAAACTGTGTTCCATTGACCTAACTCTGTAGTGTGTGCTGTTCCCCTGCCCAACCTCCTGATAGGACAGTTTTCATAGATCACACGTCATTCAGGCTCTACATGCAGGTCTGGGCCATCACAACTTGTTACAAGTCAATAGCATTAATGATCAGGGCCAAGTGATTAAAAATTAAATGCAATTAATCACACTGTTAAAGTATAAAAGAATAACATTTATTTAAATATTTGTGATGTATTCTACTTTTTCAAATATGTTGATTGAAATGACAACACAGAATGCTAAGTGTACAAATATATTTATTTTTATTACAATTTTTTAAATTTATTTTTTATTGTAAATATTTGCCCTATAAAAACAAAAGTAATAGTATTTTCTATAGACTCTCTTTAATGTATAAGCTGAACTTACAGAGGTAGAATTCTGTGCAAAAACTGTATTAAAAAATAAAACAATGTGAAACTTTAGAATCTACAAATCCACTCCAGCCTACTTCTTGTTCAGCCAATCATGCAGACAATCAATTTTGGTTATATTTGCAGGAGATAATGCTGCCTTGCTTCTTGTTTACAATGGTCACCTGAAAGTCATAACAGCCAGATGTGCTACGGATTCATGTCTTTTCATGCTTCAACCACTATTCCACAGGGCATGTGTCCATGCTGATGACAGGTTCTGCTCAATTACAGTCCAAAGCAGTGTGGACCAAAACCCATTCATTTTCATCATCCGTGTTAGATGCCACCAGCTGAAGGCTGATTTTCTTTTCTTGTGGTTTGGGTCCTATAGTTTCCACATTGTAGTGTTTCTCTTTTAAGATTTCTGAAAGAATGTTGCACAATTCAATCCCACTAAGATTTTGGAAGGCAAGTCAGATTCTTAAACCTTGGGTCGAGTGCTGTAGCTGTCTTTAGAAATCTTTCATTGGTACCTATTTTGTATTTTGTCAAATCTGCTGTGAAAGTGTTCTTAAAATAAACATGTGCTGGGTCATCTGAGACTGCCATAACATGAAATATATGGCAGAATTCAGGTAAAACAGAGCAGGAACCATACAATTATCCCCGAAAGAATTTAATAACACATTTAATTAGCTCATTATTTTTTTAATGAAAGTCATCAGCATTGAAGTATTTCCTTAGGAATGGTGGCCAAATCATGAAGGGGCATAAGAATATTTAGCACATCTGGTATGTAAATACCTTGCAACGGAGGCTACAAAAGTTCCATGCGAACACCTGTTCTCACTTTTAGTTAATGTTGTAAATAAGAAGCATGCAGCATTATCTCCCATAAATGGAAAAAAACTTGTTTCTTTAAGTGATTTCCTGAATAAGAAATAGGACAGAGTAGGCTTGTAGGTGCTAAACTTTTACAGTGTTTTGGGTTTTTCTGAGTGCAGTTATGTAACAAAAATATCCACACTTGTAGGTTGCACTGTCATGATAAAGAGCCTACCATACAGTTCTTGCATGAGGTGAATTGAAAAATACTTTCTCTTTTGTTTATCATTTTTACAGTGCAAATATTTTTAATAAAAATATAAAGTGAGCACCGTATACTTTGTATTCTGTGTTCTAATTGAAATCAATATATTTGGAAATGTAGAAAAACATCCCAAAACATGTAATGCGTGTCAACTGATATTCTGTTTTTAACAGTGCGAATAAAACTCTGATTAATCATGAATAATTTTAAAATTATTAATTTTGTGTTAATCACATGAGCTAGCAGCAATTAACTGGCAACCTTACTAATGATATTTTAGGGTAAGCTAATAGGGAATCACTACTGTATGCTAAACTGCTGCTGAATGCCCAGACGCACACAGTGGAAAGTATTCCAGGCATGCAGCTGCCTTGCTGACTCCAATGGGAAGCCCTGATTGTCCTTCTCATCCTCCCTCTACTTCAGCCACCTCTGCTTATCTCAGAGCGCACAAGTCTGGAATTTCTGATTGTTCCTGGGCCCCTGAAACACCACCTGACACTTCCTCCCACAGTACCCTCATGTTTCCATTCTTTCCAACTGATACTATTCTGAACTATTGTGGATAGCCCAAGAGTAGAGGCTGACTCCACTTACAGTGCCTGGACTGTCTTTTGCCTAAGCCTTGGCTCACCTCTGTACATCTACATCAGCCATGCAGGGGTACAAGGCAGTTCTGGTTTCTGTTAGGGATGAATGTGCATTAATTATTGAAACCATGCCCACACCCCAGCCAGCTTTATGCTCCATTCTTGCAACTCGCCATTTACTAATGAAAATCGTGCTATTTCCTGTCCCCGCTCATGGCCTAAAACATATTTGCAAGAAGAACATTTGTGCCCACACAAGCCTTTGAAAATTTGGCCCTGAATGACTTAAATGAAAAACCCATAATATTTGTCATAAAGGGCTAGGAAAGGTATACACTGTCAAATAAGCAAGAAGATCAGTTTTAGTTCTTACACATTAACAAAGAGCATTTTGGATTGCCAGCTTTGCTTGCTAAACTAGAATCTTAACATCTAACACCATTTGTCTCTGTCCTTTGTAAGATCAGTAGTTTTGGGTTTCCCCCGCACCCCCTATAAATATAAAAGCTATGTCATCAGGGGAAATAAGGCAACTTGGGGATTAATCTTATTTTACAAACTAATAAGCTTTTCTTTGTGACATTTAGAATAACTTGCATCCTTTGTGTTGTCAAACTTGTGTGCGTGTGTTTGCCTGTGTATTTTCCTTAACATTTATACAAAGATTAAAGCGATAAATATTTTAAAGTAAGATCTCTTTATTTTTTTCCCTTACAGTGGCTCCTCCCACAAGACTAAGATATAATCTAGTCACTCATGACAGTGTACAGATTTCATGGAAAGCCCCTAAAGGGAAATTTACTGGATATAAGCTTCTTGTCACTCCAAGTGAAGGTAAAAATATTTACATTTGTCTGTAAGCATGTTTGGGTAATTTGGATCCACTGATGGTGCTGGCATGGTGCTTAGTGCTCTAGAAGAAAGTAGCCTCCTATTACTTTGTGGCTGATGATCTTACTCCACATAACTGGGAGACTGAGCTGGCTCAGGAAAACCAGGAGCTCTGGCTGTCCAGCAAGAGCGAGATCCATCTGACTTGCCACAGTGCAGGGGGAGGTCAGTGTGAATGCAAATTTCTGGAGCATTCTGGTGATGAAGTAAATTGACAGATACTTCCTGTGTTTCATTATCGGTGGAAGGCTCCTCTTCTGGTCCTGTCCCTCTGAGCATCCCCTTTCTGTTCTGGCCATACACAGGGAAATGGCAAGTGCCCAAGAGAGTAGGAGGAAGAAGTATGCAAATGTACATGGAATTTTGGGCAGTTGGAACAAGGGAAGTGAATAAATAAGAGGCACAAGGGCATATTGTCATCTGGCATAATTTTTTATAATTCCATTGTCAATGAACCTAAGAGAATTTACACTAGTTTGCAATCTTCCCCACAATGCATGATGTTTTATTCCTCCTTCATATAGCACTTATTCTATAGTTACCCAAGCCTTATAGCGGGTATGTTTATAAACTATGCTGCTGAACAAACATGAAACAAATTTTCACAATATATCTACACTGTTATTCCTAGCACCAAGAGAACTAAACTATAGCTTAGTTATTTTAGAATAACTATCACATGTAGTCTATAGTGTATTCATATTAAATTTATAAATATGAGGTCTTCAAACTGCATTTGCACTTGGCTGTTATATTTTATTCTTCCAAGTAGATTATATATAATGAATCTTACAGATTGGACAATGATGTATTTGACCAGCTATAGCAATTTCTTGACAAGAGAGCAATAGATTCCTTTTCTTCCCCATATTTTACTGTTGCATTGGTCTGAGCCAGGCAAGCTTTTCAATCTTAAAATGAACCTACATGCAACATATAAAAGCAATCAAAATGTGCCAAAACTCCCAGAGGAACAAAAGTTGCAACAATGTATGTCATGAAGCAATTAAGTCAGCTATTATGCTAAAAGATATTAAATTCCAATGGATGAATGGCCAGAAGGAAAAAAGAGTGTACACAGTTTTGATAGCATGAATGTGGATATGCTTTGGTAGTCAGCAGAGAGCAGAGGGACTATAATAAATATTAATCTTCACAGTAATTTACAACATGATAGTGTGACACTCAATTAAAGCAGTGGTAGATTTTATTAGGACCCAGTCCAGTAGTGATATGCAAAAGGACAGAGAAGGGAGTGTTTGAGCACTGGTGGGCAGTAATGAGCAGGATACACTGTTGGTTCCACATCTGTGCCTCTTACCCTTCTGCTTGCCACCCTGCTCTCGGAGTTTGCATATGGATTGGGGCAGTAGTAGTGAAATACACAAAATGCAGCCGCCAAGTACCTTCTTAGCAGTTATTGGATCCTGCTTGGGGCAGGTTAGGCTGCTCACTTCCTCTGTCTTTGGCCATGTTTGCCTTTTCTATGCCACAATGATGTGAACCCCCGTGCAGAATCTTTAGGAGTGGGGCTACATTCACTATAAAGAACTACACTCTGGAGGAATGCTGCTACCAGGCTGTTTTGAGCAGAAGCCGCAAGCAGTTCTGTGCTATGTGCTCTGCTATTCTGCAAGTGTCTGTATCTGATAAACAGGTTCCTGTAGCATGGTGAGTATTGCTGCTGTAGTGCCTCCTGCTGGTCATTCAGAGAAGCAGCTCAATTCAGCCCTGGAGCACCCCCTTCTGGCCAGTGTCTCTCTCATTGTTACCTGTTTAGGTCTTAATGGTTTTGCCACCTTACATTGGGACCTGTGTCCCTGTTAGACCGCAGCACTCTCCCCTCTGGGTACTGCCCTGCCACAGTGCCCCCATACTCTGGAGTCCTACCCCTGAGGGAACCTCCAACACCCTATACCCACCTTGTCTTAGTGACCCTCCTGCCAGTTGTCATCTAGCCCTTTATGTCAGGGGCAAACTACAGTCACATGGTCACTCATTATTGGCAAGGGGTGTGGACCTGCTATCTTCTCTTGCCTTGGATGCCTCCCTGCACTCCTGGGTACACTTAGGTGTTGCCCCATGCCTTGCAGCCTGGGAATTTGCCTGGAGAGAGCTCCCCAGCTGTGCCTGCCTTTCCCCAGCACTGCTCTGTCTCAGAAAGTTCTAGCTTCCCTGGAAGCCAGGTCTCTCCTACTCCACAGCTGGAACGTACGTGAGTGAGTCTTCATTCTCAGTCTCAAGAGCCCTTATTTATACGGCCCTCAGCTGGGCCCTGATTGGCTGCTGTCTGCTGCAGCTGCTTGCTCCACAACCCCAGCCCTCTCCCAGGCTGGGTTTAATCCTTCTTATGACCATGCGGGGCAAACACCCAGTCACGGCTCCTAATGAACATTGCTCATGATGACTTTTTTAAAAGATGCATTATTGAAAGAGTGCACAGTAGTGGTTGTGTTAAGGAATGTGTTGCTTCAATAACTTTTATATTGCTGACCCCTTGCGGTCAGCAGTTTAAAATCTGTTCATTTTTATGAAAAAACTTGTCTTAAAATCAGAAGTTCCTAAAACACCTGATATCAGTCCTCTAAAAATCTAAAACCATAACACTTTCTTTTCTTTGGCTCAATAGTCTATAAAAGATGACAAATTGTGGTGACAGGATGGATATTTTGGGACATCCATTTGTGATGTAAGACTGTTTTTAAAAATTAATGACCAAGCAAAGGGAATCAAACTACTACTTTATAGATTTTGGGCCTGATCCTACATGCATAAATACATGACTCCAGTGAGAGAAAGCCTGAGAGTAAAATACGTACAAATTTGCAGGACTGGGTCTATCAGCTGTCATAGTGAGTTAGCAACATAGTTAGGAGTAGTATTTCTGCCTTACCTCTTGATTCCAGCCTTAGCTGCAGGGAAAATAGTTAGTGGCAGTTAAATCTGTGTTACAAATACAGGTTGCAAAAGGGACAAAGAGTGGGAAAGGGAAACCATGTACGTGCAATTGAATCTACAGTTATTTGTTAGGAATTTAAACTTGCACAAGCTTCAATTTTGTAGTATTCTCAATGGGTAGCTGCTTAGTGCTGGATCTAGACAAAATCAGCTCTAGGCCAGTGGAGTCTGCAGAGCTTCTTTTGGCAAACAAATCTGACTCTTTAGATTTCTAATCTCTCCTTTGGCTTTAAAGTGCTTCATTAATCATTCGGGAATTCCCTTTTTCTAGGCAGAGACCTCTTATTCTCTCCTGCCCACATCAATTGCTTGAAAAGGATACTGTGGAATTGTGTAGAGTGTGCAGAAGTCCATACATAGTGGTTAGCTCTCCAAGATCTGAGTAATCCAGACAAGACCTTTAGTGAGGGGGTTGGAGGAATTTGCTCTCGTGCTTTCTCACAGTTGGCAGGTCCATCTCTGAGGTCAGCCAGGAAAGCTTTGCTAAAACTTAACTAAAATAAATGCATTTAATATGTCCTTTGAGGACTATTATTCAAGTATTTTTAAAAAATAGAAATTTTCACTCAAGCCATTTGTTCAGGGATTGCACTCTGCCACTGACCATGGGAGACTCAGAAATGCCAGATGAGTCTTCACAGTTCATTCATGCTAAAGACTGCTTTTTAAGTTTTGAGATTGTGGACTGCTCTCTGCTTGCCTGCCTCCTTCCCTCTTCGCAATGAGCTGCTTAGTTATAATACACCTGGGCTGTGTCTACATTGGCATGATCTTGCGCAAATATTCTTTAACTCAAGAACTCTTGCGTTAAAGTATTTGCACAAGAGAGCATCTACACTGGCATGTACCTTAGCACAAGAGATGTGCTTTTACACTGGCACGGATGCTCTTGCGCAGACGCTTTCTTGCACAAGAAAGCTCCGATGGCCATTTTAGCCATCGGGCTTTCTTGCGCAAGAAATTCATGTTGCCTGTCTACACGGGCCAGTTGTGCAAGAGAGCTTATTCCTGAGCGGGAGCATCAGAGTTCTTGCGCAAGAAGCACTGATTTCATACATTAGAACATCAGTGTACATATGCAAGAACTCCCCGCCAGTGTAGACAGGCAACATGTTTTTGCGCAAAAACAGCCGCTTTGGCGCAAGATCGCACCAATGTAGACACACCTCTGGTGCCCCATATAGAACTCCTCCTACCTCTTTCCTCATGTCTCAGGAATGTTCTTTGGTTTGTATCTCTTTGTGCTTTGATCCAGTTCTCTAACCCTATTCAAGACTCCTTAAAGGCTGATCAGCCTTTTCTGGTTCTTATTCCTGTAAGCCAGGGTACTTGAAAACTACTGGGACTCTTCCTACAGCTAGTTCCCATGTCTTGAGTGGCCTGTTGCAGCAAAACCCCTTTAGAGCTGCTGCCCCTTGAAGTGTGCTTGGCCAGATTATCTCCCAAATTGTTTTTTTTACCTGCAATTCTTCAGCTTCCTGCTCTTATAAACTGCCCCTCCCAGTTTCAGTTGCTCTGTTTTGGCCTCATTTGAAGTCCAGACCGCTAGCTGCCACTCACTACAAATTGCTTTTTCCCTTCTCTCCATGTGGGGGTTGGAGATTCAGGTTTATCTGGGTCTGTTTTCTGGCAAGTCTCTGGGCACAGCTGAGCCTGGTGAGTACTGACTGATGGAGGGCAGATCTAAATTCCTACTTTACCCATTAGCAGCCAGGGTTCAATTGCTGCTCAATGCATCCCCTGCCACAGCTGTGCTTGATCCTGCTTTCCGCATTTTTTTCCATCTAGTCCCTGCCTGCTCTTTCCCATTCTCATTCATGCCCTTCTCATTCTTGATCCCTTTGGCTCTGTCCCCTGTTCTACTTCCTGGCTATGTCTAGACTGGCATGATTTTCCGGAAATGCTTTTAACTGAAAAGTTTTCCGTTGACGCTCTTTTCTGAAAATGCTTTTTAGATTGGCACGGATGCTTTTCCACAAAAGCACATTTGCGGAAAAGCATCCGTGGCCAATCTAGACGCACTTTTGCGCAAAACAAATCTCAGCTGTCTACACTGGCCCTTTTGCGCAAAAGTTTTGCACAAAAGGGACTTTTGCCTGAATGGGAGCAGCATAGTATTTCCGCCAAAAGCACTGATTTCTTACAGTAGGAAGTCAGTGCTTTTGCGGAAATTCAAGTAGCCAGTGTAGACAGCTGGCAAGTTTTTCCAGAAAAGCGGCTGATTTTCCGGAAAAACTGGCCAGTCTAGACACAGCCCCTGAGTATATCTCTATCTCCTCATTAGCTCTTCCAGTTGGCTTCTGACCCATGACTCTGCTGTCAGCTACACCCACAGAGCCCTTATCCTTGATCCTGGCTTGATTCTGCACTAATCTCCTGGTTATCCCCATGGGTCTGATATTTAGGTATGACTGTCCAACTCTCAGATGTGACTGCTTGTGATGCAGTCTCTTCCAGGCTTCATGGTGTTAGGCTAGTATCTGCCAATAGTCCGTGGAACCAGTTGTTCATTCTATGATATGTACCTCAGAGTATCACTACAACATTTTTCCTCAGAGCTTCTGGAATGCTCCTGATGTCAATGAGGCCTTCTGGTGATCTCCTTTCATTTCTAGTCAAGGTCTATCTCATGATGTCCTATTGCTCTAGCCTCTCATTTCATGGCCTCATTCTCAACTGGGGCTGAGTTTCCAGACTGCTCCTTGAATAGATTGATTCCCACAGAAGAATCTGCAAGTTCAGATGTCTTAATATCCTGTGTGGCTTTCCAGTTCCCATCCTGTATCTCACTCAGGCTGCATCTAAACTGGCATGATTTTGCGCAAAATCTTGCTGCCTGTCTACACTGGCCACGAGTATTTGCACAAGAACACTGACTTTGTAATGTACAAAATCAGTGGTCCTTGCGCAAATATTCTGACGCTCCCGCTCAGGGATAAGCCCTCTTGCGCAAGTATTCTTGTGCAAGAGGGCCAGTGTAGACAGCAACGTTAATTTCTTGCGCAAGAAAGCCCGATGGCTAAAATGGCCATCGGAGCTTTCTTGCGCAAGAGAGCATCTACACTGGCACGGATGCTTTTGCGCAAAAGCAAATCTTTTGTGCAAAGGCACATGCCAGTACAGACGCTCTCTTGCACAAATACTTTTAATGGAAAAACTTTTCCGTTAAAAGTATTTGTGCAAAATCATGCCAGTCTAGACGCAGCCTCACTGTGTTCCCTTTCCAGGACCTCCATTTCCTGGAGGTCTTTCCTTTGTCTGTGTGTTTGTGTGTGTGAGTTTGCACATGTGTACATACCTAGGGTCTTACCTGTTATTCATATTAAGTCTTGGAGAAGATTTACATCCAATGGGGCCACCCTTTTAAGGTTACAGTATATCAACCCACCTAGCTCCTTGCTTTTCTGGGATGCCCTATCACCCTGTCCTAGCCCTCTCTGTCATTCCAAAGGGAGATGGATTTGGAACAGCCAACCAGTGATGAATGACTGGACTTTGGTCCCATACTTAATGTAGTTTAAATATATATTTAAGTGGTTTAAAATGTAGCAATTTATCTTATTAGAGCACTCACTTTTTGTACTATGCTACTGATCTTATTTCTCTTTTTGTTTCCTTGCAGGTGGAAAAACCAATCAACTAACTCTTCAAAACAGTGCAACCAAAGCAATTATTCAAGGCCTTATTCCAGATCAAAGCTATGTTGTTCAGATTATTACATACCATAAAGACCAAGAGAGCAAGGCAGCACAAGGGCAGTTCAGAAGTATGTGTCTACATGTATATATCTGATCTCACATACAGCACTGTCTTACCAAATATTTCTTCAATCTATACATTTGTAATTTACTCAGGTGCCATAGAGATAAGCATGTTATAAATATTTAGAGCAATAGAGAACATAGAGACAATTTCAGACTAGTGTAAAAAGGCACAAGTCTGTTTACTTCAGTGAAGTACATGTGGTAATACAAAGTCTGGCTTTATCAGATATCATGCAAGAGATCTTAGAAGTAGGGATTTTAAATACAAAAAAAGTTAATTGCTCAGTGTTTCTAATTTTCTTCTTTCTCTTGTAAAAATAGCTCATGTCTTATATAAAGGGAATTGTGAGTGGAAGGAAATGAATGAAATGAGAAAGCATGTATTTTATCTTTTTCATGAGGTGAGGGAGGCAATGGGTAAATCTTAAATCTTTGAATTTTTAATAGGCCATATGCTCAGTTGGTGTAAGTCAGCATAGCTCTGTTTAATGGAGCTATGCCAGTTTATACTAGTTAAGAATTTGGCCTAATCTGTTCAGCACATGATCCTGCAAAACGCCGACACATACACAGAAATTGATAAATGTGTTTTGTCTGAGATGTGTTGATTCTGCCTGGATTTACATGTCAGGCCTAATCTACAGTAGGAAAATAGGTTAATATAACTACATCCCTGAAGGGTGTAAAAGATCTGCACTAATAAGTCATGCAGTTAAATTGATCTAACTCCCAGTGTAGACAGTGCTGAATTGATTGCAGAATTCTCTCAACTACCTAGTTATTGCCTCTCAGGGAGGTGAAGTGCCTGTGCTGACAGGAGAACCCCTCCAGTGGCATAGGTAGTGTCTCCATTGATATACCGCAGCAGCAGTTGCAGCATTTTAAGTGTAGCCAGGTCCTCCTGAAACTCAATTAAAGACAGATCAAGACAGATTTGGTCTATGGAACCAAAGGCCAGATAGCCTGGGGGTAGGGATGTAATTTTTCCTGAATCCCCTTGTTACAAAACACTATGGCTGTGTCTACACTGGGCCACTTATTCCGGAAAATCAGCCGAATTTCCGGAAAAGCAACGATGCTCTACTGTACAAAATCAGCCGCTATTCCGGAAAAACTATTCTGCTCCCGCTCGGGCATAAGTCCTTATTCCGGAACACTGTTCCGGAAAAGAGTCAGTGTAGACAGCCCAGTAGTCTTTTCTGGATAAAAGCCCCGATTGCGAAAATGGCGATCGGGGCTCTTTTCCGGAAAAGCGCGTCTACATTGGCCACAGACGCTTTTCCGGAAAAGAGGCTTTTCCGGAAAAGCAGCCTGCCAATGTAGACGCTCCTTTTCCGGAAAAACTGAAAACGGAATAGTATTCCGTTTTAAGCAGTTCCGGAAATTCATGCCAGTGTAGACACAGACCATCTGTGAACATTTTTAATATTGGAGATGCTTGTACTTCAGGTTCCTGTGTGATGGGTCTGTCAACCCCTGCTCTAATTGCTAACCCACCCTCCTATCCTATCCAGCACACAATAACAAGTGGTGATAATTCGAGGTAGAATCCATGTCAAGGCCATCCCCCAGTGCCTGAATTTACTATTTTAAATAGCACTGGCTGCAAAACTGATCAAACCACAGTTTACTTTCACACTAAAGAGAAACCTATGGAATTGCTACTCAAGCTTCTGAGGTATTAGGTCTGGTTGTTCATAACTGGCTGTGTTCCACAGGAAGAGCAGATCTGGCAGCTTGATTTTTTAGAATGCAAAGGTTATATTCTATTTAATATATTGTTTCTTTAGTTGCAACATGTTTTCACTGGCTTCAGTGAGACTTGGCTCCAATTTGACAGTGTAATGACTTAATGAATGAAACCAGATACAGTGTGTATGGAAGCCCTTTCTTTTTTAAAAAAACGTTGCATTTTTCAAGTTTTTTTTTCCACCATGACAAAGTGATGACTAATTATTGGATCTGAGGGAAATTCAACCATTCCAAGGCACCTTTAGGGAGGAGAGGAGAGAGCCAGAATAAAATCATGAGGGACTAGAAGGACAGAACACATGAACCCTTTAAACTCTCTGAATTCTAGCTAATGTACAAAGTCCCATCCCCCAAGCCTATAAATTTTTAACAACTTTGCAGTAGTCTGTTATTTTTAGGACAATTTATATTTTCTTTTACATGATTAGGTATGTAATTCTTATAGCTTACAAATTACAGTAGAATAAAAAGGTATAAAATAATGAAGACCTTGCAATGGAGTTTTAGCCTAAAAAAATAGATTAGACAGATGCACTTCCACATTCAATTTTACCATCATGCAAGTATGGGAATGATATTTTTGGGGGGCTTTTAAAGTTTTATGAAGGCAATATTTTAACAGTGTCTTCAACTCCATTGGGGTAGTGTGAATAGAAGAATGGCCAGCTCTTTGCCAGAGTTACTTTGCTTTTTACCTGCCTTTTAGTGAGACCAGTCTTGTGTGTGGACATCTACAAAAGCTAATGGAGTCAGTGGCTATTGAGCACAATCAGAAATTCCTGATAGGTTGCTCAGCACTGTCAGAGCTTACTCAAGCAACACTTGCAATTGACCAAATCACAAAGTCCTTTCTCCCCCTTTTACTACAGTGCAAGATTTGGTTGGCTAAAATGTGAAACCAGAATAAGACTCTGAGAGTACGTCTCCTCTTCAAGGTGGAGGTGTAATTTCTGACTTGGGAACATGGACCCACACTTGTTTTGATGAAGCAAATGTTAAAAATAGAAGTGTAGCCATGGTAGTGCAGGCGGCACTCCAATTGTGTTCCACCTCTATTCAGGCACTTGCCTCCTGTCTGTTCTAAGGTGGAGGTAGGAGAGCAGCAGTCGTGCAAAGGCAGTTCCCCTCTTACCCACAGGTCACACACACTTGGACTTACAAAGTGGGTTTCAACACTAAAATGGAGGCTTCTACCCCCTTACTCCCCGTGCAGCACTGTAGAGATTGAAAGGATGGTCTCGTGGTTATGCACTGGACTGCGACTCAGCTGTTCTGTGTTTAATTTCTGGCTCTGCTACAGTAATCTTCAGGGAATCTGGGTGAATCACTTAATATCTCTGGCCTGAGTTCTGCAAAACAGGGATAATAATAATTCCTTTCCACTCTCACCTGTCACATCTATTTATCTTGCAAGCTCTTTGTGGCAGGGAGAGTCTTTCTTACTGTTTGCTAATGCCTAGCACAAGGAGGCTCTTATCTTGGCTGGGGCCTCTATGCACTGTGTAATATAAATAATGATTAATCCTGGTCATAATTCAGCCCTAAAAAAAGGGAAAAGCTTTAATCTAAGAGGAATTTATTTTCTGTTCTATATCCGTTGGCACAGGAAACAGACAGATCTTTCTTGGCAAGACTCAAAGCTATTCTAGGTGGCATATTAGATCATTAACATCCACGCAACTGTCACATTGGCTAACACCAATTAATTTCCTACAACAATTCTCAGAGGTTTTGTTATAGAGAAACTACACTCTGCATAGTTAACTGTATTCACATGGTCTTTATACATGGTATTGTCAGAATAATTCTGGGTGGGAAAAATAGAGTGGTGTGAAGGTCATAGTGTAGGAGCATAAGCTTTCGTGGGCAAAGACCCACTTGTCAGATGCATCTGACGAAGTGGGTCTTTGCCCACGAAAGCTTATGCTCCCACACTTCAGTTAGTCTATAAGGTGCCACAGGACTCCTCGCCGCTTTTGCAGATTCAGACTAACACGGCTACTCTTCTGATACGTGAAGATCATAATGATTCCTCTGGCCTTTAATGCAATGTTGGGAATTACTAAACAGACTGAATTCTGTCTGAGGTGGATGGGGAAATAGTGTAAGGAGCCTCCATATTCACTCCTCATTTGGCTAGTGCATGCTAGGGCTAGGCATAATTGGAGTCTCTGCTATGGACATGCCCTATTCCATTGGGAGTATGTGGTGCCCTCGAGGGCAGGGAGGAGGTGGTGGCCTAAGGCATGGGGTTTAAGCTGCACCTTTATGGAGGGATATAGCAGTTGGCATGTATTCACCATCTTCCATGGACTGGAGAGGAATTCTATCCTGACCCATTCTCACTCTCCAGTCAGCCTTACCAATTTTCTGGGCTAGTGAAGCAGGAGGTTTGCATGCTCATGTGATTCAAGTGGATAGATTTTCTATCTCCAAAGGCCCCTCAACTTAGGTCCTAATACTGATGTGTGTGTGCTGGGACTCTCCTAAGTAAGGGGTCACACTTGTCAAACCCTATAGTGATGGTGGAATGTAGACAAATACCCACCAAGAACATGATTGAGATTAGAAAACAAACAATCCAGTTGCCAATTGCTGCCTCAGCAAATTCTACAAATATTGCATGAAGATTTGGGTGCGGGGGGAGGAATATGATACATTTAACTAAACATTTCCCAGTCTGATATCTTTCCTCTTATCATTGTAGTAAAAGATCTAGAAAGGAAGAAGGAAACATCAAGTAAATCCAAGGTCAAGGGTAAAGAAGGTACAAATGGGAGTAAACCACATCCATCTACAGAAGGTCAGATTGTCAAAAAAATATGATTTTGTGATGTCATAATAATAACTAGTTAAATATGTGTCTGCCATTACATTGACCCTTTTCTTCATTACAGATAAGTGACTTTTTCCACTTGTTTTCCAAGATAATTATCTTGCATTGATGGCAATTATAACTATTAAATAAGTAAAAGTCAACTTTCTTCACACTGAATTTGATTATTTACAATAAAAAGTTTTCTTTACTTTGCTGTTCTATTTTTCAGCTTTAAACGGGGTTTTAAAATAGGAAAAATAAGTGAAAGTATTCTTTTGAACCCGCATGAAACAGAATGTCTTGCCTAATTTCTGCCCTTCCTTTCATTATAGTATAAAACATAGTATTAAACATATTACTTTCATACTTGGCGCAGATATGAAATTGACATAGTGTATTACATTTCATGCATAAGACAGACCCTGTACATAAAAATCAGGTAGTTATGCAAACACTTGCAAAGGGCTTGTGTAGTTACACACATTATATTTCAGATGTTTTAATTTTGTGTGTGTGTGAGAGAGAGCAAGAGAAATTCTTTACAGATTAACAAAAAGTAATTTAGCAGACTAAGAGGGTAATGTGACTGCTAGTCAACAGAAACATTTCCAGCCTATATAGCCATACAAGAAAATCCATTCTGCATTGAACATATAACATAGTATCCTGATGGTTCTAAATTCTTTTTTAAAAAAACCCTCCTTTCTTAAGGCAATTATTTCCACCAGCAGTTATCTGTGACATGCAGAACAAGCAGGGGCAAGAAGAGCTTGATATGACCTCAAATAATCTTTCTGCACTAAATAGACAGTTTCATGACTCCCAGCTTTCCAGTTCCATTTTATTCTGTATCCTGGTAATGCAAGATCAGTGTTATTGGTTCAAAGCTCACTGAAGTCACTGAGAATCTTTCCATTGATTTCAGAGGGCTTTACATTATACCCTGTATGTTTGTCCTGTAATTATTTAACACTGTATAAATTAATACACTTTGCTTTTGTTTATACCAAAGTGCCACTAAGTCTTCGCATTCAGTACAGCATGTAAAGAAGCTTACTGGAAAGTAGTTCACTAGCATGTATTGTAATGTAAACTGGCTCTGCTGATGTAATATGAATGGTAGTGATCTGACCTGTCTTCGGGAGAATGCTTGAAATGAGAGTGTTAGGGAAGGAAAATGCACTTGTTTAGAGTAGGGATGAGTAACCTTTTTTGAGTTGGGGTTCACGGGAAGATGGCGAGGGGGCTGGAGTGCCAGCGCAGGCTCCCCAATGGTGGGGGAGGTCCTAAGCTTTGGGGGCCAGATCCAGGCAACTCAGGTGCTGCATCCGGCCCCGGGCCTTAGGTTCCTGACCCCTGGTTTAGAGGTTTAAGAAGTGAAAAAGCCCAGGGAGAAAAAGCTCAGCTTTTAATAACATTTGAAGAAAGTATTGAATTGCCTCAGAGAGAGAAGGTGCTTGAGCCAGATTTCAGTAGAGACCTTTCAGGGAGACAAGAAGTAGAGGCAGAAATTATCCTATCTGCAAAGCATGGAGAAACAGAGAAAGTTGTGGTCTGTTGCACACCCTGTCCCAAGAGAGTGGTTCACAGGGGGCTGAGGACACCGCTCTTACCATTCCCCGCCTGTTGATGACCCCAAGTCAGCCCGTTACTGCAGGACAATGCAGTCTTTTCATCCTCCGCCATGTGGCCAGTAGCAGCTAGTGTAGGTATTTTGCTGTTCTAACTTCCACCTCTAGTATATGTGGCCAGATCCTGTGTCAGTGGAGTATTAGGTGTAGTGGAGCCCCATGGTACACTTCTCCTGTCATGTCCCCTTCACTCCTTTATACTAGAGATAGGGTGGGCAGGTGGTACGGGAAGGAACTAAGCTGTCTCTGACAGTTTTAACTGGCACAATATTCCGGAACTTGGGCTCTAGGCCATGTCTGAATGCCTACACAGCATTGTAACCCCACAGCCTTGGAAACTTAAGTCAACAGACATGGGCCAGCCCCTATGTTGTTTTATTTCAGTATAGACATACCTAGAGATTCTTATTTCAGAAAGAAGAATCCTCTAGTGCAAACCTGTGACTAGTTTTGAACTTGGTGGAGCAGAGAATCCAACCCAGCATCTTAAGGTAAAGCTGTTAATGAACAACAATAATTTTTTTTAAAAAAATTGACTATTGGCACTGTGAGAGACAGCAGAGTATGTGACAGGTACCTTATGCTGTTAAAATCTGTTAGAAAATGTTCTTAACTTACTTATGGAGTTTTCAAACCAAGGACAAAAGCAAATTAAACCCTGAATTTTATGTTTGAAAATACTTACATAATAGGATTGCTCTAGGAGTGCACATTTAAATACAGGAAAACTCACACAGACTTCACAGGGTCAGCACCACACCCATGATTCTGCATTCCTGATTTATTGAGATGTTTTTTGACTCCAGGAGGCACTGTCCCTGGGTAAGGGGTGTAAGTCTTAGCTCTTTCATGCAGGCACCCAGAACAATTATCCACTCGAATTGTTCCAGAAAGAAGAACAAGAAGCCCTGAACTATTACACTCACTGGTTTCCATCAGTTTTTAGATGGCTGAATGTTAGCAGTTGGGCAATAATTCCCACATCTGTTTCAGTAATCCAGATTAAAACTCTTCAGCACAGGTAGACTTTCCCCCTCCTATCCAGAGAAATATTTTCAAATGTATCTGGTACCCTCACCTCACTGCCTCTCCCCGGGACAGTCCCATCCCAGATTTATCACTAATGTATATCCACTACTATAAACATATCAGAACTTAATTTTAAAATGCAATGTTCACTCACTCACTCACTCACTCACTCACTCACTCACTCACTCACTCACTCACTATTTTGGTTTCCACAAAACTTCTCAAATTTTCTTGGATAGCCACTTGCAAGTCTCTGATCATCCAGTTTTTGGTCAGATTTAAACCCAATTAACTGCTTCACACTCAAATTAATGTGTCAGGTTCCCTTTCTCTATTTCCACATAAGTGAACAAAATCTTCTTTCAATCCATTTATCTTCTAGCAATTGTACCTGCTCAGTTCTCCAGTCACTACATACACAAAGTTCTTTTCTGCTCAAGAAAGAGGAATAATACATTCTGGCTACATCTAAACTACATCCCTTTTTCGGAAAAGGGATGTAAATTAGATGTATCCCAATTGCTAATGAAGCGGGGATTTAAATCTCCTGTGCTTCATTAGCATAAAAATGGGTGCTGCTTTTTTCGGCATGGAGCTTTGTTGGAGAAAAGCGCCAGTCTAGATGCTGATCTTTCGAAAAATAAAGCCTTTTTCAAAAGATCCCTTATCCCTCATGAATTTTTCGCACTTCATAATGGCGGCCGCGCGTTCTTTCAAAAGAGGGCTTTTTGAAAGTGAAACCACTGTCTAGACGTGGTTCTTTTGAAAATCCCTCCCCCTTTTTCGAAAGTTCCTGTACTCCTATTTTTTGGCGACTTCACTTTGAAAAGCCTTTTTTTGAAAGAACGCGCGGCCGCCATTATGCAAATGAACATAGATGTCTGTGAACTAGCCGCATTGGTCCACCTCTTCCCCGCCCCACACACCAGGAGAAACCCCGATTTGCACCTTTTTCTCTGACTGTACCATCAGGGTTGAGGATGTGGACATGCCGATCTGTATTGTAGAGGACGCAGCCTACCGTCAGCTCCCCTGCCGAATGAAGCCCTACACTAGATACCTGGACCAAAGCAAGGGATGCTCCAATGCCAGGCTCAACAGGGCTCAGATTGTTGTTAGGGTGCCTTTGGGCATCTGAAAGGGTAGATTCCGTTGCCACCTCACCAGCCTGGACCTAGGCAAGCAGAACATCCCCCAGGTGGTGGCAGCCTGTTGTGTCCTTCACAATATTTGTGAAAGCAAAGGGGGATACGTTCCTGCCAGGGTGGAGGCAGAGGCTGACCCTATTGGCAGGGCCTTTGAACAGCCGCATACGGCTGCTGTCCGGCAAGCTCATCAGGTGGCTGTGTGTATCTGTGAGGCTCTGAGGGACAGTTTTACACAAGGACCCCAGTGACACTCTCCTCTGGGCCTTCCCACAAGGGGCCTATGCATTTCCCCTCTGTGCTGTTCCTCCCTTCCCCTGCCCTTCCTTCCTCTCCCTTTCTAGCACAGACAATAAATTACACTTTGGCTACGTCTACACTGGCATGATTTTCCGAAAATGCTTTTAACGGAAAAGTTTTCTGTTAAAAGCATTTTCGGAAAAGCACGTCTAGATTGGCAGGATGCTTTTCCGCAAAAGCACTTTTTGCGGAAAAGCGTCTGTGGCCAATCTAGACGCGGTTTTCCGCAAAAAAGCCCTGATCGCCATTTTCGTGATCGGGGCTTTTTTGCGGAAAACATTACTGTGCTATTTACACTGGCCCTCTTGCGCAAATGATTTGCGCAAGAGGGCTTTTGCCCGAACAGGAGCAGCACAGTATTTCCGCAAGAACACTGATGATCTTTCATGAGATCGTCAGTGTTCTTGTGGAAATTCAAATGGCCAGTGTAGATAGCTGGCAAGTTTGTCCGCAAAATCACATGATTTTGCGGAAAAACTTGCCAGTCTAGACACAGCCTTTTTGTTTTGGAACAAGAAACTCTATTTTTTTAATTGGGGTAAATGTAATTGGGAAGGGACTGGGGAAAGAAACTGGGAGAGGAGAGGAAGGAGTTGGAAAGTGGAGTATGGGAGAGGAGAGGAACAGGGCTGGGAGTGGCACCTGCATAGGGTGGTAGACACATCCTAAGGTGCCACAGAACTCCTAGTTGTTTTTTTGCAGATACAGACTTACATGACTCCCCCTCTGATACTTGTCATAAATATCGTAGTTGACTGAGCACTAGCAAGAGATCATGTGCATGTGGCAAATGACTTAAATTATGTACTAGTACAGCCTCTACTACACAAATATCATAGATGAACACAGTTGCCAGAGGAAAGGAGATTTCAGTCAAGAG